CACAGAGAGCAGATAACATTAAGCTGCAGACTTCAGGGAGCAACAAGGCTAAACCGAAGGTAAGACAAGAGAGAGCCCCTGCCTCCACGCTGGCACAAGTTGGCAACAGATACTATAAAACCGCCAACTAGGGACTAGTCGGATGTTTGCTCCTCTCTCCAAAGCCATGAAGAGAACCACAGAGCATACTCAGAGAAGACCTAATGTATTAGTAAACAGCTAGCCATGTTCAGTATCACCAAAGTCAAAACCCAAGCTCTGCGAGACCAAAGATGAAACAGCCTCAAGATGGGTGCTTAGCTGCTATCAACATTTCAAGACAGCTAGAAGATGGCTAACTTGCACCATCCTTCAGTATTCTGCTTTCCGAGCGTCCAGGCCCTAACTATCCCAGGGCAGGTAGTAGTAGGCCTGCTGGAAGTGCAAAATTGTGTCTTAAAGGCAGGCACATCTCTGGACACGAGAGAAACTTCTGAAGCTGCATGTTGCAAAACCTCTGGGAGCTCTCCAGCCCCACAACTGCAAAGGCAAGTTTACTCTTGAGAAGACCTGCAAACAGTGTCTTTCCCCCCTTCCCCCCCCACAACAGGATGCAATAAGGAACAGGCCTATCAGGCACCGCTCCATGACTAACAAATCAAACCAGTAGAAACAGGTTTCAATAGGATGCTCATTGTGCACTAGTTCTAAAATCAGAAAAGGGATATCTGACTCATTCCCACAAGCTGCCCCACCTGGGAAAGGTTCACATCACAAGGTTTTATATTTCTTCATTTAAAAAGGTATTAGGAAAGCTATCAGTATACTTAGGTAAGCAACGAGACATGGTACAAGTGATTATTCTGTGTTAGTAATCGTACACCTTCACTATGTGGCTGGGAGGCATGAGGTCACAGGAAGAGTATTTCCAACACCCCGGATATATTACCATGTGGCACACCCTGGAACAGGGTGTTACTTTCTCATTTCTTAATAGAAGTATTTTCTTTATTAGCTACCTTGTAGGAACACATACAGGGCAGCACTGATGTAGGAGGCAAAACCCTGGACAAAGCTGATTAGAAGCTTACAAAAAAAGAGTGTGTGTGTGGGGAGGAGAGTTTTATGTGTGCATTTTTGTTTGTTTGTTTTAACATCATCTCAAGAGAGCAGCTCTTGCTTTCAGAGGGAGAAAAACCCTGTAGCAAACAGGACAGGACAGTAAATGAACCATCAGCTGCAACAACAGAGATAAAGCCCTAAAAACAATCGTAAAGGTCTTGTTATGCTCTGATTGAATATGAGAGCGAATATTTTGAGCTAAATAACCCAGTTGCCTCCAACTCCTCCCAGGAAAGTTTTTCTTCCACTGCATACACTCACCAATATCAGCATGGCCTGTCGGTAAAAGACTACGTCGAGCAGGTGAGAGTACGCACATACGTGATTCATTCTACAGCCTTCTGCACTGCCTTTCCCATAAAGCAAGTTTCAAGCAGCCACATCCAATTCTACAAACCCTCAAAGCAGTAATCCAAGCATAACAAACCGTGGCCACATAGCACAGACGTTTACATTAGTCTGAACCTTGCCTCTTTAGAGTCAGAGCAGGAGACCTCTGCGGCTTAATCTGACAAAATCTCAAATTATTTCGATAGTTTTGAGCTGCACAGCCCTGGAACATAACACACGGGCCAGACAGCATCTGAGGACCATGGCATTCAAGCCCCTATACAGTGGCTTCAATCACTTTCAGTTTTCAGGATTGTGTCTGAGAAGTGGTAATGAATACCTGTGTTACAAATCTTTCCCCACAGTCATCTCTGCACAGAGGAAAGAGGCATTCCTCTTGACAAGCAGCAGCACAGTGAAGTCTAAGGCAAAATATCAAAATGCCTCCTGTGTTCCAAATTCAGATCATATAACAGTATTTTCCAGAGGTTACTACAGTAGGCATTTGCCAAGATAAAAATATACAGCTTTGCCTAAGCCAAAAGTAGTGGTAACATTTGTCATCTGCTGGAGGGTAAAGATGGCACACATTCTTGTTAGAGTATAAATCTAGTACTAGGGACATCCTTGTACCAGGATCTATATAAAACTAGCTCACAACAAGGTCTTACCTGCTTTCTGTTTAAGCATCAAGTGTGAATTCCTAAGAAAAGGAAAGGACACCACAGCAATACCCATAAGCTGTAACATTGTATATCTTGGACTCTCATGAAGCCTGTTCTCCTACACGAAGCCAGGACACTATCAGGACAGTAATTTTGATCTGCTCTTCATTCTACATGCACGTGAAGACCTCCTCTGTTTTAGGAGCCGGAAACACATTAGCCATTTGCTTTTAATTACATGCAAATTGAACTAGATGCTACATTAACTTTAGCTTTTACTCTAAAGAGAAGCAGACTGGAAAGAGTATTCAAGAGGGAATGCTCAGACTAACAGCTGTCATATATGACTGTTTCTTGTCAACAATAGCAAAAAATTAACCATATCGCGCATCCCCAAAAGCGAACGACTGCAGCAGTTTCCCAGTTAGGAAAGTACCATCGGTAGGATAGCAGAACAGAGGTTCCATTAATGAGATTTCACTTAGATGTCAAATACAGACTTTTCCTTCTTTAATAAGGCTTTATTGATATTTAGGTTTAATAAGCACACTAAAACCTGATTTGGCAAGTAGCAAAATAAGATTTACTTTATACCAGTATTTACATATGCAAATGATGACTTTGTGGTACTTACACTCACCATCTCAGGAGAATGAAATTAGTTTCAACTAACTGTGCCAGTGAGCCCACAAGGCAATCACCAGCTGAAGGCCTTACCCATTGGTAACAACAGTTAGTCTTCCTCAGGAAGACTAACGATCCTGGAGTGCTCCCGTCTCTTAGCCTTCTTCTAGCTTATTGCAGGGCAGAGTAGATGCCCAAGCTAGTTCCAGAACTAGAAGCATAGCTACATTAAGGACAGTACCCACCCTAACAAGTCTTTTTAGACAGCTACGTTAAACTTTGCCTCTATACTGCAGGGTTCTGGATCCCCAAAGCAGCAAGTGCAACAAATCACACAGTGCAGAGCTGAAAGCTCACTTAGCGTTAGCTTAGAGATCTCTGCACGGCGGTTAACTGCATCGTAAATTTATCTTTAGGATATGGAAGATGTCTTTAAATACTTTTAGATGTTAGCACCCATACACCAGACTGCAGCGCTCTAATAACTAACCTTCACATGCTTACACACTTCTCTCGCTTCTTTACGATGAGCCCATATCTTCACAATGCCATGCAGGTTGATATTGCAAGTTAGCACTGAGCATTTCTGTGAAGCTTCTTTGGCAGTGCCAGAACTCATCACACATTTAGTAAGTGCCTCCAACTAAATGCCAGTTTCTGAATTTTCCTATCTTTTCATCTCAACAGTGAGGGGTTTATGAAAGGGAACCTTCCAGAGGCTGTTTGAAAGCAATATGTGTTCTGTGAACGAAATACACGCTCTTTTCCTGCATTAAGGCAAGCCAGAAAGAGAAAAGCACATTGATACTTTTACAGTATCTTAGGGGACAGTCCAAAGAGTTTAGATTTTGATTTTGCCAATAACTATGTAAATATAAGCCACAAATAAATGAAAAATGAAGAGTCCAGAAAGCCTGCTTAGCAAATCTTTAAGTTCTTTACAAATTAAGATCCAAGATTCACTAAACTCTTCAAGAGTCCAATCTTCTTTCACACAAATAACCAGTTTATTTTCTGTTCTCCTTCTTCCAGGAATCACAGTGAGGATTTTGTAGTACACCACTCAGTTTGTAGGAAGTGAGGTGCTTATCTGGCCTCAGCACTGAAGCTCAAGCAGTCAGGAGGTATAAAAAGAAAGAAAGAAAGAAAGAGAGAGAGAGAGAGAGAGAGAGAGAGAGAGAGAAAAACCACACCACACTGTTACTGAGCATAAGCACTAGAAGCTGTTTATACTAAGAAAGTTAGATTCAGAGGGTTTTAATGCCATGTGTATCATGACATTATGTGCTATGAGTCTGAAGCTCTTAAATGTGGCTTTAAACAAATCAACCTTCCAGAAGTCAACTCCAAGGAGAAATGGTACATAACAAGGCAACCAAAATAAGTGCCATCATTGAAATATAGTGCATCACTGCAGCTGCAGCACTGATGTGGTTAAACTAAACATTTTCAGTTGGCTCTTATACAACTAAGCATACTCTCATTACACCACTGTTTTAAATGAGACAGTAAGAGAGCTGAATAGATTACTCATTTAACAATTGGCTGTACCAAAGAGAGTAAAAGCACGGGACAAAGTCTACTTGTTTCCAGATGATTCCTTCAGTCAACACTTCCCAGCTTTTTAAATTTTTACTCCCCACTTCTGTAGTATTATCCTATCCAACTTGCGAAAAACGATACTAAGCAGTAGAAATTATCATTAAAAATAATTTCTTAGGAAAATAAAACTAATTTGAAATTGTACAATAAGCATTGATTAGCTGTGCTATATCTATGTGGAAGAGTAACACTGAATCATCCAAAAAAGCAGTCAGTGACAAGAAACTACTGACAAGCATTAGCTTCTCAGCAGCTACTATTCAGTTAGCTTCAATGTTATTATGAAGGGTCGCTGACTTTTAACATGGAAATATTTTAAAAATCCCCTCCAACTCAAGTACACAGTAAAGTGTAAAATCCATCTTTGAACACCTATGGCATTTCAAGCTTTCATAATTTTGTTACCAACATCACAAATGATAAATACTTGCAATTGGTTAGACTGGAGTTAAAACTGATTCTTCTGCGTAGCTATGTGTTCCGTCAACGTGCTGCCCAATGAAATACATCTAGCCCTGGCTGTAAGTCAGTATCTCTCGTGCTCTGTGACATTATTAAAAAGTTAAATCACAGTCACCGACAGACACTTAGCTTCTCTCTGTCAAATACAGTGATCAATGTAATTGGTAGGCAATTCATTCTCTTTGAACTTCTCTTTCAGGTCAAAAATAGCTTTACCTGCATAATGTACAGGGATTTCTATCTTTGGCCCTATGACGTAGTGACCCTCCTCCAGACTGTGAGCTGTAATTGTCGTCCACTGCCGGCATGAATGAATCAGAAGATAGTCACTCTCTCGAAGGCCTTCTACAGCTTCTCCTGCAAAACACATGTAGTTTTCTTAAGTTACATGTATTGCACGAACAATAAGGGAAACTTCACAATAAGCAAATTATTCCTACTACTGCTTATTTTTCCAGACATTTTGATATTTAAAAATCCAATTAAGCAAGTTTTAATGCTAAACAATGTTCATTTTGCAATGTAAGCACTTTATATTAAAGGAGAAAAACAAACAAATAAAACAACAGGGCTTGAATGCGAGTACCAAAGAGATGTAATTCTGATTACTCAGCAATGGCTCTTGGGCTCCTTTTTCAGCTTTCTGCACAAGTAGGCTTTCATTTCTCCATCTATGTCTACCTATACTACATAATATGAGTCCTTGAGAGTTATTTTGGTTCTTAAATAAAGGAAAGCTATGAACAAACAAATCAGCTATTAGGTTTTGCAAGGTATCAGCAGAAAAGCTCATTTTCATATGCTAAAAGATCAGCATCACCCTAACCTACGGCCATCTGAAGTCAAGTCTTATTCATTAGTATTAAGTAATTAGGTATCATACTTTCAATGCAGAGATTTTAAACTTCCTCATTCTACCACTCCCCTACTCACTACTCAATTGGCCATTCCTATAGCTGTAAGCTTAATCCTACCACTTAACAAAGTCTTCTCTCATTGACATAAATTCAACTAAAAACTCCAAAACCCAGATCAGGTCCAACTCATCTTTGCAATACCTTCTCTCGTACTCTAATGTTTGCCAAATCTATCCCAAACACTGCCTGAGAGCTCTCCTTTTCCCCCCTACCCCTGTCAAATCCTCAAGTCTCTGCATTTCCAGCAAGTACCCTTTCCCTTCTTAAGTGTACGCATCAGCTGTAGTGCCTGATCAGTGCTTTGCTTGGCTCTCCAGCAATTGCAAGAGCCACGTTAGATAGGCTGTTTTCTGTATGTTTAAGAGAGAAGTGTACTGAATAGGGTTGTAAAGAAGTAAGAGCAGTCTGCTATGATACACATTCTAAGCACGGTGCACAAAATTTCATACCAGAAGGGCATATCTGACACTCTGTGGGTCTTTCTCAAGGTGTCTTTAAAGCAGACACATGCGTATGTCACACGACCATTCAGAAACACTTAGGCACAAAACACGGGAAGTTTTAGATTTCATTTTCCCTCTTTCTCACTAACCCTCTGCTGTTACAGCCAAAAATAAAGTCGTTTAGCCCTGGAATCAAGTTTGGACTTAATCCATTCCCTTCAGCTAAGACAACAAATTGCACGTTCTCTTCACTGTCCTGTGATATTCTTAAGTTAGTAGAAGAATTAGACTCTCTCAGTCTCAGACAGTAGATATTTTCCTTGTTCAATCTTTGCAAAATCTTCTGATTGTTTGTTATTTTGTTGTCCGCACCAGGCAATCTCTTCCACTGTACGCAGGGGCTACCACACACCCCATTCCTGCCTGATTTCATGCTCTCATTCTATCAAAAAATACCCTCCTACACAATTCAAAATACAACAACTGGTGTGTGTGAGAATTCTTGCATTTTAAAATCAGAAGAAACCATTAAGACCACCTGCTCCAACATTCACAGGCCACACAACTCTGGATCGTCTCTCCAGTAACTCATATTTGGCTAGAGGAGGGAGAGACCTATCCCAACTTGCAGAGTACAAGAGAGGGACTTTCCTGGTCTGCTGCCCTATGGTCACTTAAACCTTAAAAAGGGTTCCTGTTTTGCACTTGCCTGCCTTTAATTTAGAAACATGGACAATCTCTTGTTACAGTGGGGGGAAACCCAAAACAAAGGTAGAAAGAGCTCACCAGTACCAGCTATTCTTTCTCCCAAGAAGGTATTATTTTCAGGTTTCCTTCTTATTCACAGCATAGAGAGTAGCTTCCAAGTGAACAGGACATTTCAAATGGACTGGTTTCCAAATGCTGCTTGGAACTTGTTCCTTGGCACCCCAGTAAGGTAGATGGACGTTTAATATTAACTCCTGCTTCCTGATAGCACCACACCTGCACCCACAGCATGCTAGGAGCACAGGAGAAGGGACCTCAGAAAGCCTAGGGAAGAGCAGCAAAATTGCCATACAACACAGGAAAACTCTTCAATTCCCTCCACATCTTGAAAGAAATTTAAGTTATTTGGTAAAAGTGTCATGCACCTGCTAAATTTTACCAAAGCCTCTGAGCACCTTCTGTTCTCTCTGCTCACAAGGCGACTCCTAATGACCCTCACAAAATTCTCTTCAGCTTGTTGTAACAAGCTTAGTTACAATTTCAAGGGAAAACATTTTAACAATATATGGTGTTAACTGAAACTCATGCTTCAGTTCAGAGTGTTCCACTCATGTTTTCTATAAACCATGGCAACAAGTAATTACTCCATCTCAAAACAAAATAAAACAGTGACACTTAAGGGATGAACTAATATTTTACTAGTTTCACTGACAACGGTGAACAAATTTTGAAGGAAATATAAAGCACTTCTGATATGCTTTTCTCTATGCCTTACAATTTGCAGTTATCATTTCAGAGCATTACCTAAATAAAAGTTGAATTTTATGTCCAGGATTGCAGGGAAATAATTATAGTATGGGTCACCCTTGAAGAATCTGAGAAAATTTCTCAGTAAAATAAAGATATCCAATATGAAAATGTGCTTCCAGTCATAGCTCATATGCCATCATCTGTTTAAGCAGCCACTCTATTAAAACTGGGTGGGACATGCGAGTGTAAAAAGATATCATTAAGGCAGGCCCAAGAGTGACTACATAATTAAGCCTGCAGCTGGAAGTCGCTGTAGTTTTTCAACAGAACTTTGGAAATCACAGTTCTTGTTACACCAATTATCTGCTCAAACTCATTAAACAGGAGATGAATTTCATACTGTGTCATGGAAGTCTGAGTGGAGGAAAGAAGGTGGAGAAGATGTAACTTGGAACATAAGGGCTCTCTGGCTCCCTCACAATAGCTATGCCTGTCAGTTTGTAGTTCTGATCTTTCCTACCGTGGATGAACCAGATTCCTGAGGTTGCTTAATAGGAAGATGCTCCTTGTCACCCGACAGGATTAATGGACTAGCAAAGACATCTGGCTAATGACTTCCTTCATGCTAAAGCAGATAATACAAGGAAGAGTCAAATGTGAACAAGGGCAACAAAATACGGTGATACATACTTTCTTCTTTCCTCCCTTTTCTTCTTTTCTGTCTCCCCACCATAAAACATGCTCAAAGCCTCAGGCCAGTTTCCGCACAGAGAGAAGAATCTTCCAGGCAGGGAACATCTCTGACCCTGGTTATACCACTCAGCTCCCAGGCCAAGCACACCCAGCGCCTTGCCCTCTCCACGTTTCTCAGTCAACCATACCTTACAAACAGCCACATGCACATCCAATCTGATTTTCTTCCTGTCTCAGTAAGGCAAGTTATGCAAGCCTTTCATTAATCACATTTTAACTACGTGGGAGAGAATTCAGCAGGCTTCAAATACACAAGCTATGCAACTCCGTTCTCACCTATCCAACATACTCCTACGCTACTGCTTACATAAAGATCAGACACCATGAGAAAACAGAGAACACAGGCCACTCATCTTTAGCAACAATTTTGTCTCTTACGATCAAATATGGATTAGCTGTATCTTCTTGCCCTCTCCTCCCCGCCCCAGATGCTTGAAATATAATTAAACCACTACAAAGAATCTACAGGTAAGTACTTGAGCTGCTTCCCCCCGCCCCCAAATCATTGCCCAGAGAAGCAATGAATTATCATACACACTTCCGCACCCCTCCCCAAGTTGTCTACTTCCTTCCAAAATATGAGTCAAGTTTATTCATAATAAAGCCTGAGACTAAGAAACCCATGATTTGCTAAGAGCACATAAATGTCAAGTAAATTGTCAACACCCAACCATGACTTACAATAAAAGTATCATACCTCTGAACCGAAAAGTTAGCCAGTGTATTCCTATGCAAGCTGTCATCCTATAAGCACTGTGACAGAGATCAGTAGTTGAACTACTTCGTCGTACATCATTGAAGCAGCACCGTAACAGCTGTTCACGTATTCATTCCAAATCAGATGTATGAAAATGTGAACAGCCTACCACTTTTTAATTATTGGATTGGCAAAGCTCCATTTCCATATAATTTCTGAAAATTACAAATATTGTAAAACCCGTATCATTGTTCAGAGGCAGCTGCAGAAGGAACGTTGACCCTGAAAAGAAAATTTTTCACACACTGATACAGTTAACAAAAAGGTAATTGCTTAATCAAGATTCCCAGAGTTATTAAACGCCACCTTCATTAAATGCAAATACTTCTTTAATACTTCTTTACAGTTGCAAAATACGATCATCCACATTTGCCAAATCTTGGCTCTGTCATTGTAAAAACTCCAGTCTCAGATTAGCGGTTAAAAGCTGTAGCAAGACTGGGAGCAGGCTCTCTCAATCTATGAGTTCAGGGATGAATTTCTGTTCTCATTTGCAGTTTCAGAATCAGATGAGAAAACAGTGGACGGTCATGTGCAGGGACTGAGTTTATACACGGCAACACTGGAGCACACAAAGTAGCATGTTTCTTTTGAAGCATGCACAGACCTCCCTTGCAAGTTATTGTCACCATTTACTTTCTAGAGATGGGCACTTTTATATATTTTGGCATTTCACAATTTCCGAGGGTCTATGTTAAAGCCTCAGAAGTAGAAGTTAAGACCATTCCAATTTTGAAAAGTCTGAGCACTCCCATCTCCTTTTCCTTCTGGATTAACAATTAAGGCTAGGCTCATTAAGTTCCACAAAACAAAATTCCTGCAAGTTCCACATATTCTGATTTGCCAAAGACAGCAGTTACTTTTGAACACCAACCATAAAGAAAAATAATGAAGCAAAAAAAAAATTTTTCAAGTTTTTCATTCTAGTATTGAGAAAGTGACATTCAAGTTACTGCAAAATGTGAAGACCAACATGACTCATTCGCTCCCACAAACTACCCTGCTAAAAATAAGCAGCGATCTACAGGAATATAAACATTTTATAATGCCACACACTTTGTCATCTTGGCAAAGAGTTTGCATCACTCCCTTAGAGCATAAACTTGCATCTGGAGACATTTAAATAGTAGGTAAAGAGCGAGCCAGAGAAAAAGAGGAAGTCACATTCAGGGTTCTTGTAACATAACGAATCCCATTTAAAAAAAGCCAGATGAGCGAGATACCATCTCCTTGTGCTGGGAAGGTCGTTAAAGAGACATTTCTCTCATCTTATTCCTCATAGAGGACTATAAAGACTATAAAGTGAGCTTATGGCTGTCCCTTGTGCATTAGTTCAAGCACGCAGAATTTGCTCTTCCTGGAACGAAAAGCCTTACAACAAAAGAGTTAACACCTCACAAGAAACTGAAGATTGCTTTTGTGAAAAAGCTGGTGAAATGCCTGCTAAACCCCAGGGAAAATTCACCCAGACTTTGTGACATGTTTTCAGTAAGTCCATCTGAACTCCATCTGCGTCCAGGTAACAGATGCTGTACAATTAAGCATATGCCCCAGCCTGCCTAGGTCAGTTAAATGGAATAATTAAAGCCCACCACCCACTTAAGGTTCTACAGCTTTCTAACGTGTTATTATACAGGAAAATCTCAGCAGCATTCAAATCATCTCAGTGGGCAGTCAGCCAGATACCTACAAAAATGGCTTTTTCACTGTCTAACCTGTTATCCAGCACCCTCCACCTTTTCCAATAACCTCAGAAACAGGTGGCTTCTGGAGCTGAGACAGTACCTTATTAAGGCTACTTGGAACACATAAGCAAGAATCCTACCAAGAAAAAAAAAAAAAAAAAAAAAAAAAAAAACCCAAAAATAAAAAACAACCCGCCCGCACTATACTCCTCTCTGTTAGATGCTTTCTTTTTTTAAGAAACAGATCCCAGCTTCACTACCAGTGCTGAAATTAAAAGACAAAGGCAAAAAGACTAATAGCATGAGCTGGCTCTAAGACATTCGGGGCTTGATTGAACAGTAGCTGGCTATATAAGATGACCCATCATTAGCGGACATTAACATGGAGAATAAAAGGAAAGTAAATTCTTTTTATTTTTATTTTTTTAATTAACATACACAAATGACTCGCTTCAACTTGTTTCCATTCACACTTGTACTAACACTTGCTAGGACCAAGAAGTTAATTTCTGGAACAGCAAAAAGAGGTAGCTGTCTGGTTAGGTGGGCATGTCTGCAGTGAACTAGGAAGAACTGTCAACATACGGCTAGCGTTACAAGAGAAGACTAGCAACCAAGGTTTATTTTGTAGGCAGGAAGGCAAGAGAATGCAGAATGATTAGAAACCGGAAAAAACAAAGAATTGAAATTCTTATTTTACTAATCACGCTATCATAGCATTGAGGAGACTTTTGCACGTGATATCTGCTGCAACAGACAAAGAGTAGTGATCCTTTCTCTTCCTGAGGTGCCAAACAGGCCACCCATTAACATACACCTTAACAGTATCCTATAGTATCATGAAAATAAAGCATAGCCACAGCTATGAAGTTACATTCAGAAATGTAATACAGTCCTCTGTTTAAAAAGAGAAAGAAAAAAAGAGGATCCCACCAAAAAGGCTCCCAAAGAGAATTATATGGAATGCACTGATTATATGGAATGCACTGCTCAGTGCACAGAGTTGTTTTAGGTCAGAGACAGGTCACGACACTAGCACAAATGCGAATGCCAGCTTTACTTTTCCAGTCCAAAAGAAGGAATCTAGAACACTGTACACCAGTCAACTAACAAAAGCTGTCTCATTTTTGAGAAGACCAGCTTGCATTTCTGCAAGCGTTCGCTAGTCACATAGTTCCCAAAAGAGGTAACATTTTAGGAGGAACTCAATTCCTTTTGAACTTGCTGGAAGATTCACAGCAGGTAACAGCTGAAGCCAAAGCACAAAAGCACAAGGTTCCCCCTTCTAAAAAACGAGAAGTAGAGGGCCTAGCACTGCTAAGACAGAGCACCTCAAGAGACCAAGCACAGGTCAGAAACACCCAATTGTGGGTAGGGAAAACCTATTAATTGCAGATATTACTCACACTAGTTTTAGCCTTCTCGGCAAAGAGAGTCTGCGAGTATCAGGGATAATAGCAGCCTTTTCAGGGTAGGCTTCATGTATCAGTAGGCCTTAAAACCAGACTGGATACCACAGCATCCTTTTGCCTTTAAAGAGGATCCACCATAACTCAGGACCATTCTCATATGAGAATCTGTATTTCCTTTCACCAGTGAGCTCACCCTTTATATACTGTTCAAACAGCTCTCCGTTCTTCACTTTTGATTCACTTCTTATCCAATGTTTGGGTTTCTAATCTCTTGAAATTCAAGAAAAAAAAAATCTTATCTGTCCAGAGAAGCTGACAGACAGCAACTCCTTGTTCCATGCAAAACAAGTAAGACAAGACCTTGATCGTTTTGCTATGTTAGGCTGTAACAAAGATTTTTCACTGTTAACTTCAGTTTAGTCTCATTTGATGTAGACAACCAGAGAAGAACGGCTAGTGTTTAAAAAACACTGCATTGAGTATAGCTCAATAGTCAGGGCACAGATTCTTTGAAAAACATGCACAAACAAGAACAAACAGCATGGGCAATGGGGTCCAGAACAGAATTCCACGTAGTCAATTTCCCAGTATCTTTGAGGCTTAGCACCTACTTTTATTCGAGTCTGAATTCAAAGGATAGAATGAATTCTTTCACTTAGAGGACAAGACTGTATGTTCCTAAATAACCTTTTCTGTCTTCAAGACGTGCAACTGGGGAGAAAAAAAACCAGTGAGTATGAAACATCTCACTAGAATATGAACCTACTATTTGTTAGTCAAATACGTTCAGCGCTGCCATACACGACCATCTGAAAGCAGCTGAGTAATTGTTATCAAGGGGAGAAAACAAACCAATGATCAAGTGGCCTTTTCTTCTATAAAAGCATTGACCTCATCTATAGCTGCCTGCTGGTCATGCTGTTGCAGACAAATTGAAGCTGGATCAGCGCATGGGAACTGGTTCCATCCAAATTCTGATCCACTACGATGCTATCAATATATGATCTATCATTTCCAGCACTCAGTCATATTACCATAGCAACATTTCCTTGGCAGATCACGTGCCTCTTCTCCTACAGATTATTTTACCAATACTGAAAGCTTTCTTCTTGTATAATGCTGAGTTTGCATTTTACATTTTGGGGAAAGAAATACAAATTTCTTAAGTCTGAATATTCAAATTAGGACAATGGAATTTTTAAAAAATATTTCTCAGATCACACAACCTGCTCACCAACTTAGTTCTCATGACAGTAACATCTACCTATAGAGACATTACTCTGACATTCATTGAGGTAAGAAATCCTAATTTGACTTTTTTTTTTCCCAGCCTTTGACACTGTAGTTTTGGTTACCGGGTCTAGTCTCAATGAGCTGTTCAGCCTGCTAATATTACTTTTTCTGCAAAAATAAAACTTATACTGGTCTATAAG